TGTATAAACTTGCATGACTTTTTTTATAACCAATACATCTATATTTACATCAATAACAATTATTAATATTTCTGAGTATTTTATTTTAATATCAAAAAATCTTCAATCTGTTCAAAACACTATTTGTGTTAAAAGTATGTATTATTATTTTTAAAACATCAATAAGTTTTAATGATCGTCAGGTGGTTTGTTATCGATTAATCCCATTTCCCCTATGTTCAAGTGTTAAGGTTGAAATTACATTGCGCAAGAGGTGCATATATCAATAACTAAAAAAAAATTCGACGATGAGGTATAGGACTCGGTAGCTCAACTGGTAGAGCAACAGCACGGACCACTGACGATGCCGGTTCAAGTCCTGCCCGAGTCGAAAATTTTTTCAATTTATTTTCGATTTTTAAATTAAACTTTGCTTACTCAAGAAAACAAATTCAAGAGGGTGAGCAAAACACACACAGGGTTTACACCAGTACAACTACCTCATTACCTCAAATGCCAAGTCTAACGTTTGCCATCGATTAGCAATACATTTAAAATTTCCTTATCATAATGTCCATCGTTGATATTCATTGAATATCGTTAGTACGATGACACCCAAAGAGTCAAAGATGGTCTGTAATCAGCTAGGTCAATAAACTTTTAAAAATTAATTAGTCATAAAATCAAAGTGTACATAAATAAAGCCATTAATTTTCATTAGCTAGGTCTTATAGATCATTACAAAATACATAGTTATATTTACGAATGTTTGTATACATTGAATATACAGGACATACTTAAGTTGGGGCATGAATATTTAATCAAGTGTTCGTAGTTAAACACCAGTCTTATTAAAGAATGCTTCTAAAGCCTTAAACACACTACGAAATTCTGAAGTTAGAATATTGGTTTTTCGGACACCTCAAAATTATATTTTAATCTTTGTATTTATTATTCTGATATCATATCAATTAGTCTGAATACACTAGGCCCTTCTGGGAAAGAGCTAAAGGAGGTGTCAACTACTTCTTAACTTAAATTCTCGTAAATTATTTAATGTATACAACGAATGGATTAACAAATAATATACCTCACTTAGCTACCATTAAATACCTATAATATTATGATTTTATTTTGTGATTAATTAAAAAATACTCTCTCTCTACTTATATAATATATTTAAACTATAAAAATAGCCTTTCAAATCTACGCTATTAATGCACGACGCAGACAGGAAAATAAGTGCACGACACTGCACGGAAAAGTGCCATACGCTTATTGCAAGTGGTTTTATGTGGTTATATTCTATTGTATTGTTGGTAGTTCGATAAACTTTGTTTATAGCTAAATGAGCGATACAGTGGTCATTGACCCCCTTCCTGAAATAGTACATTACGTTGTTGCGTAGAGATTGCGCTGATACACAGTGCCAATTGAAGGCGTTTTATATCATAATGCGAGTGCATATTAAGCCTACTACTACTAATGGTGGCAATGTATGGCTAGTGATCAACGGGTCGTGGGTTCGAACCCCACCGGGTCAACATGTTTCTATTTTTTTCATTTATAATTTTTCTGAAATCTGCTGGACTTCGTCTGGACATCTGGATATTAAATTGGTGGTAGCTCTTGAAATTCTATAGAAGCACATAATACATGGATAAAAACTCATTTGTACTTCAATGACAGAAATAGGTCGATAGTGCATCTTAATTAGATGTTATTAGCTGGGGCATTTAAACCCTATCTAGTGTCTTTGTATGTCATAAAAATGAAATTTGTCATTTCGTAAAAGTATAAAATATGAATATTTAAAAATTAAAACCAAACTTTATAACCGATCGTTATCTACAATTTTGGATTTTTAAAGTAAGCGTCATATTGCGTATATTTATAAATTAAAGCCTAGGCACAATGGTTAAAGGTATATTTTTCATGAAATATATTTAAGATACAAACTCAAATCCGATAAGTTATATTCGTATCAAACAATATCTAATCTGACTTTTAACAGTCAGATGTAATTATGTACTTGATGTTTTCTACAAGCCTTGTGTCTTAGGCGAAATCCTCCTTAAATTAGTATAATAAAGATATAAAAAGATAATAGTATGTGTCGTAACAGTTAAAGAATGGCTTACAATGGTACTAATAGATGAATACTTACTTGGTTTAGTTTATATATTTTTCTGCGCTTTGCAACTTTTTTGCATAGACAATACGTACATATAAATGGCATGTTGATTTTTCTTAATGAGGAAGATATAGAGAATATCTTTTAAGATACTTATTATTAAGCCAAGGACATATATTCAATTGTATTCCTTTGAGACCACTAAAAAGCTAAGCTTTCAACATTTTAAATATCAATTTATTCAACATTTTAAATAAAAGATTATTTAAAATGTTGAATAAATTGATAAAACGGTAATGTTTTCAAATTAATGTGGGTTTTTACTGTAAACTATTTTATTGCTATTTCTTTTAGTTACATATGAATCCGAAAAATAAAAAAGATTGCGAGAAGTAGATAATTATATCATATCTCAATAAAATTGTCAAAAGGGCAACGCTTACCTTATCATTAAACTTATCTAGGATTAATTAGTTTTTTAATCAATAATAACATCATAAAGTGTTAAATAACTCTTATAAATAATATTTATATCTGACGGCCTGTGTTTTTTGCTTAGATGAAGATGAGTGAAGGGTATGTTTTTAAAGACAGTTATGAAAAAGGACTGATACATTCTGTCGTGTTAGGCTCTTTAGATGTTTATAATCTTGAAAGTGCTGTTTTAATTATTTATCATTTACGTCAAGTTCGTGTATCTACATCGATATTATCGATAATCTATAATTATTATTATTGCCATCACTTCGTGTAGTAAATGACAAATAAAGGACCTCGCAATAAAATAATAAACATGATTCTTCAAATTTGTGGATTAAATATTTCATCTGCTATCATATATTTGCATGCCAAATTTAATGCTTTCCGTTTAAAACAAAATCTGACAGGCCATTTTTTAAAGCAAGACACATTCTTCGGTGTAGAATGTAATTATAAAAACATACAAATAGGTGAATGACAACTTGTTTCGTGTTTTTTTTTTTAATTATATATCTGCGATTTAAATTATTTATGTCTTTTCATTCCACAAATAAATAAAACAAATTCCATCAAATCTTAAACGCCTTAAACGCGGGTTGGTCTCAATTGCCTTAATAATTTCGGAGGAGTTGTTAGTTTTCTTAATATTAAAGATATGAAGTTCCTCTCATCTCTCAAAGATTACATAACGATTTGTCAAAAGATATCGAACGGAGTATTACTTATTGTTCCGAAGAGGGGATAGATTTTTTAAACTTTTTTTTTGACTGAAGTAAATAATAAATGAAAGTAATTTGCACAACTCTAACTTACAAAACATTTTGGTGTTTACACGGTATGGTTTAAGTTTACAAAAGAGGGTTTACATCATACTTAATCAATAAAAGCAAACAAATGCAAAATATTCCTAACTGACAATAAACACACTCAATTTATTTTACGAAGGTAGTTAGTTTTTCCAATAAGTGGCTGAGTTTTTAATCGTTTCAGTGGTTTTAATTAAAAACCTTCACTTCCTATTCAGTAGAAAAGCGCATGACCGATAGCTAGGGTAATGAACTTCTTATCACAATACACCAATCTTGTTTTCAGTGCTTCAGACCAACACCATCTACACTAATTAATCGCGTCCCCTGTTTAACGATAATTAATATTTTAATCCATTCACTAAACTCGATGAGGATCTTCGTAAAAAGTTATTTACCTTTAGATATATGTGCAGTCAACGACCGGCTTAAAATATAGAAAGACATGAGAAGTAATCAAATTATAATTTGACTAGGTAAACATAACAATTCATCAAGTCCAACTACGTATAAAATATTGTAGAAATTTAAGGCTATCACTTGTGTCCCTACAAAAACCAAAGAAATGTATCTTAAGGAACGTTTTTAATGCGTAAATGAAATAAGAGAAGCTTAAACTTTAAATGCATATCAACCAGCTAAAACAAATAACACATAAACGCTATAAATATGGTCTTGTCATATCAGGTCGATGACAAAGCAAATAAGACATTTAAATTTCCGTATTGTTACATAAAGTATGCGCGTATAAGGATTGTAAAGTATTCCAAATGTGTGATCGTTAGTAAGTTGTTTAATCAAGTGTGGTCTTATCAGCACAATGTACTCGTACATGACCTAAACGGGGTCTTTGTAAGAAAAACCGCTTCACCGGATGCGTGTTTCGCTAGGGACACAGATTTTATGATATCCGAAGATACTATAAAATCTACGTCGGCATCGAATTTAAACTAAGTCAAAATTAATAAAACTTAAAACAAAAATGGTCCTGATAATCGTAATACATCATAGTTAAAGATAGCAAATATATGCAGCCCTACTAACAAAGATTCATAAATGTATTCTGTTTTATACATAAACATATAACGAGTTATATTTTATATAACTCGTTTGTCTTATTTTTATATATTTTTTTAGTTTTGATAAATGAAGTCTGTGGTCTGCTGATTTTAAGATACGCTGTGGTTTGACATTGACAACCAACATGAGTTTATTACGGTTTGACATTTGACATTAGGTTTATACTTTAGTTATATTTATTGTAAACAACTAGTTGAACAAAATGATGAACTTATGTATATATTTCCAATAAATCGTTAAGCCGTTTAATATTTACAACTATAAATTCAAAGTAAATAAAAGAGTTGTAAGGAAACACACTTATATATAATAAAGAATATGCCAGCAGTAGGATATCAATTATATTCTTTTTTTTTCAACTGGTTCTGATGACATGCGAAACTGAATAATTTAATTTTATCAATTCGAGTGACAAGGTCACGACTTCACTTTGTAATTTTAATCAGTTGGCCAGGCCCCCTATCCACCTAACTGCCGCCTCTACTTCGAATAATCGCGACTTGTTTTAAATCGATTTAAAAATGGCTTCAGCAATGTTAAAGTTGCTCAAATCAGAAGTAAGTGGATTTCTTTTATGAAACTTTTATGTTTAATATTTCCAAATTCCTGTTTGACTATTTTGTACTATAATTAACTACTACAGATTTAATTGGCCATGTGTTATGCCGCAACTAAAACTCAATATATTTTATATCAATCTTATGTATAGGTTGTTGCTTATTTTCTCACTGTTTATCCTGTTACTGGAAATGTAAAGAACAAAGATCTTAATACATCATTCAGATAATTTGGAATATAAAGTAGATTATAAATTATGTATGATATTGTGCCTGTTCTGTGCTGCGTAGTTGAATATTTGTCACTGTTTCATCATAATCCAATCAATAATTCACGTGTTGTTGTGATATTTAATGTAAAGAATTTTATATGCTATGATAGATATGTATCTTGTTTTTTGTTTATGACACCTATATCTAAATTAAACTGTATAGTTTTCAGGAAGATCAAAAATCATTAAAGCTTTATATCTCAATATGTAGAATAGATCAAATATGACAGAGTTTTTAAAATATGTTGTTCTTATCCTTAAGTCAATTAAAGAGAACAATTGTTTTTCAGTCACAAATACTCTTTAGAAGAAATTACAGCAGTGCAGCACCTACTACTAAACTATATATTGATGGCCAATTTGTAGATTCAAAGACAAGCCAGTGGATCGAACTAACTAATCCGGCCACAAATGAAGTTATTGGAAGGTATTTTAAGTTTTAGTTAATATAAAAAAAAATCATTACTTAAATAACTAACTATAGTTGTCTAATTGATAAAAGGCAAAATTGAAAAGGTGCATTATTGCAGAAGTTATAAAGAGAAGGAAATTAGTTGTTTACATGTAACATTTTCTTTTATTTGACTTCTGGCTATAACTATAAGTTTCCAGTCTTATTGTTACATAACTCTATGAATAACCCAATTAAATTTTTGCTAACACATTAATTGTAACATACTTGAAAATTGAAATATCATGTTATATAATTTTTTATCAACAATTAACTCAATGTAAACAATGTTTATCACACATACCTTGCAGTATCTGATAACATTTGCTTTCCAATTATTGTTTACATTTCTACTATCAGTATTTAGTGATAGAAGGATTTGTGGGGAAAAAGGGTTGCTATGCTCAACTCTTTGTTAATTGATGTGAGTCGTGACGTATTTTAATATCTAGCTGCAAGCTTAACAGATAAGCACATAGATGACAACACTTTTTTACTTCATTGCAATAAATAGTTACTGAAATATTTCACTAAAATATACTATAATTCTGTTTACAAAAGCATTGAATAATGATGTGATTTAGTTACCTAACTAAACATGACTAGAAATTTATTTGTACATAAAATATGCAAATTCATCGCCACTTTGTATAAACAACATTAATATGTAATTTCCTTACAGTCGTTTTAAAATGTGTTTGTTTTATTTTATATCCAATATATAATTTTTCAGAGTCCCAGAAACAACTCAAGATGAATTAAACGTAGCTCTCGAATCAGCGAAGAAAGCATACAAATCATGGAGTCAAAGTACTATTATGACACGTCAACAACTCATGTTCAAGTTAGTACCACAGATAGATAAATGACTTTGTTATATATAAAAAATTAAACCTAGTTTAGGCTAATATTTATTTTCATATTAATAGACAGTTCACCAAGTTTTTTATTACATTACAGCATACCTGTAATTTACGCGAGTATTAAATATTAAAAAAAAACGGTTTAAAACGCGGAGTGTATTTGTTAAACTTATTTTTTATTGCAGCATCCGTGGTAATGGGCTGACGTTATTAAATATATATTGCGTTTTAAACAATTAAAGCGTTTTTTTTAAATTTAGATTCGGACGTCTGCTTCGGGAAAATCACAGCAAATTGGCCGCAAAAATCACTGAAGAACAGGGTAAAACTATCGCCGATGCTGAGGGCGATGTCCTTAGAGGAATACGTGAGTATTTCGACTTAAGTAAAGCCATTTTTATGACGTTATGATTATTTGCGTATGTGTTTCGACATTTTTAAATATTTGCTGAATGTTAATGTCGAAGGTCAAGATCATTAAGTCGTTGTCATGCCATCTTTCTAACAAAAATTCCTAATATTTATCTTTAACGATTTCTAATTGTATTTAATCTAAAATTATTATTTTGAATAATGTCAATAAAAGAACTAAACATAAGATCACTATTTCAAAATTTTTCAAATGTTTTTACTCGGTAGTGAGTCTTATTCTTACAACATCGTTTTGTTTTATATGCCGTCATTAACGCAGCAGATTAATTTATGATATTTAATATTACAGAGCTGGTGGAACACTGCTGTAGCATCACAACACTGCAGCTGGGAGACTGTATCCAGAATATATCCAAGGATATGGATACGCACAGTTACAAGGTTCCACTTGGTGTTGTTGGTGGTAAGGAATAAAAATAAATTATGATAATTTACTACTACAATAGATTACAGATTCGAATTCGTTAACCCTATGTCCACTTCAATAAAACCTCTACTTTTTGTATATAGCACAAAAGATAAAAACATACTTTAAAAAATACAGGTGTCGCTGCATTCAACTTTCCCGTTATGATTCCTCTTTGGATGTTCCCGCCTGCACTTGTAACAGGCAACACTTGCATCTTGAAGCCATCAGAACAGGACCCAGGAGCGACTCTCATGATGATGGAACTATTACAGGAGGCTGGAGCGCCACCTGGTCTGGTTAATGTAAGAGATCTATGAACAATATTCTACACACTCTTTGAAGCCATTAAGCCCTTATATTGCCAAATATAAGGACTTAATGGCTTCAAAATTGGTTCTGGTCTCAAAGGCCCTGAATTTTTTATTGGATCATTCACAGTTATTTGTTTTATATTAGATAATATTGTGTAACTTTTTAGTTACCCATCAATGGCGCTACTCAAATAGTTTTTAATTTTTCTAGTATTTTTAGAAAAAAATAAAATATATTTCTATTCATTTGCTAGATCTACTAAAAATCGAAGTAACGGCCTGCAATTTAGTAGCAGTTATTCGGTACGATTGGTTAACACAGCCAAATTAATCAATCCAGATTTTTCTAGGTTGTCCACGGAACCCACAATACTGTTAACTTTATCTGTGACAACCCAGACATCAAAGCGGTGTCCTTTGTCGGTGGCGATGCTGCGGGAAAACACATCTACACTAGAGCTTCGGCTGCCGGTTAGTTTTTGATTATTTATAACAAATTGGCACCAAGGGTTTTAGAATAACTATTTAACTTAACACACACATAAAATTTGTTTTTTTAATATACTACGATTATATTTTAACTCCCAAGTTATTTAAAGTAAAAAAAAGTTTATTTGTCTGTAGTTTACGTGAGTAATACACATTAAAATAAAACACTGAATGCGTTTAAAACTATAAATACATATATTAAGTAGTTAAACTTATTTGAAAAATATTTTAACTGCGGCTCGACATTTCCGTCTCCCCGTGACCACGGCTGTTGCGTAGTTCTCGCCTTCCCAATAATTTTTTTCTTAAAATTGTCCAAATGCCAAACTTATGAATAACAAGTGCTTGTTTTTCATACTTACACATTTTTTACATATTTAACTTTTATTGCCCGTTTTAAAGTACATGTTTTTTGTACTTTGTTTCAATAATTATTTAATTGTTTTCTCGACTACTTGAAAGGTAAACGCGTGCAAAGCAACATGGGTGCGAAGAACCACGGAGTGATCATGCCCGATGCAAACAAGGAGCACACGCTGAACCAGTTGGCCGGAGCAGCTTTCGGCGCTGCGGGGCAGAGATGCATGGCCCTGAGCACCGCTGTGTTTGTTGGTATGTTTCAATCAATAAGATCTTGGATAGTGGCTATCGTCCGTAAATTAACACCGACTTTAGTAGCATCTGTAGTTTACGCGAGTAGTACACATTTAAAACGCGAAGTATATAAGTTAACTCATTTTTAATTAATACCTCGACCTTTTACGGCTCCAACACATTCTATTTGTATTTTTAAAAAAACGCATTTAAAACCCGTAAATAAAATATCTACATGTTTTATTTTTCTTTTATTAATCATTTGGTAAATGATTCGTATATCATTACATAGTCGACTGTTATATATCCCTATGAAGATTAGATCTCTTACAATTTATTATAATATTTTTATTTAAAGAGAAGCTTTATTTATAAATTTTGATCGACATACTTTATCTCTAAATGTTACTCTGATACAATAGTATTGAATTAGTACATTATTAGTTGTTAAGTAATAATCTTTTAATTGAATTTCCTCAATACAGGTGAAGCAAAGGAATGGATCCCGGACCTTGTGGAACGCGCCAAAGCCCTCAAAGTTAACGCTGGACATGTTCCCGGTACAGATGTTGGTCCCGTTATTTCTGTTAGAGCTAAGGAGAGGATACATAACCTCGTGGATTCTGGTACGTTACAAAATTGGTGTATGTATTTATATTTTTCGATATCACGATTAGATTTTAAAATAGCATTTATTTAAAGTGAAAGAAGAAAAATTGGTCATTATAAACCCTATAAGAAACCAAAATTTAAAGCAATTAATGTATAATCTCTGTTGTTAGGCATAGGGTAAATTAACTTATCTAACCGTTTCCATTGGCTCAATAAGTAGAACAAACTTGCCCTGCTTGACTGAAACTAAAGTTTGCATACAACGTTCCTTAATGCAAAATACTGCCTTCCCCAGGTGTAAAAGAAGGTGCCAAACTAGTTCTTGATGGTCGCGGCATCAAAGTATCCGGCTTCGAAAAGGGCAACTTCGTCGGTCCTACCATTCTGACAGATGTCAAAACCAACATGGAATGTTACAAGGAGGAAATCTTCGGCCCAGTATTAGTGTGCCTCTTCGTGGATACCTTGGACGAAGCAATCCAATTGGTAAATTCTAACCCCTACGGCAACGGAACAGCGGTGTTCACTACAAACGGAGCTACAGCGAGGAAATTTGCCGCTGAAATCGATGTAGGCCAAGTTGGTGTGAATGTCCCCATTCCGGTACCATTGTCAATGTTCTCATTTACTGGCACCAGGGGCAGCTTCTTGGGCACAAACCATTTCTGCGGTAAGCAGGGTATCGATTTTTACACGGAGTTGAAGACGGTGGTGTCTTATTGGAGACAGAGTGACGTCTCTCACACAAAGGCCGCTGTGTCTATGCCCACTCAACAGTAAAGCTATCATATGAATCTAATACTCCCACCTAATTTTAAGAAAAAGTGTCAAAAGCATTTATCATTATTTGTATTTCACGTTTATTGTTATTGCCATGTCTTCCATATCGTGTGATCTGTTACGCATATTTTGTAAGGAGTTTTAATATTTATTCAAAGTAAACATATATTTTCGAAACTATCTTTTATTTTAAAAATATATTACCACCCATTTATTCTACTACATACTATATTTGTTAATCCTTGCCCATGTATGCTAATAATATTATCCACATATAATTAATACATTAATGTTTCGGGGTTAATCTTTGTATGAAGTCTACATTTATTACACAAAGAATTTGTATTAATACCGTTCTATCGTTGATTATGACGTTTTGATAAACTCTTGCGCATCTTGACAAGAACTGTCAAATAGCAGTGCAATATTCTTTGAAATGTGTATTTATCAATTTAGTGTATTATAAACAAAGTAACGTAGAAACCAGTCTACTAATGTTCAAACATAATAATTTAAATACAATCAATTCAATTAGTAATAATATTAATCCCGCTAACCGCATTGTTTATAATAAGCGCTACATTCGGATCCCACAATAATAATCATTGTTTGTAAACATACATTCATTGTTTGGAGCAAACGTAATAGATTTGTAACATGACATCATGTTGTATCTAGCAATATGAGTTTCCTTTGTCTCCAATTACTTGACCAGTGGATATGATGGAGCAAGCACGTTTAATTATGAATAGCTGCAGCATAGCAGTGATCCTTTTGTTCCTGAGTCAGACGTCGGGATTGACTCCACAATGCAGGAATGAAAAGGGGGAGCCAGTTGATTGGTAAGTCAATGTATAAATTATTGCACCTTCTTTTTTTAAAAACCTTTTGTATACTTTTGTAAACAGTACAAACTTTATTATAGTAATTTATAAATGAAAGAAACATACAAAATATTATATTTCTGTCACATTAGAGTTCGTTTTGGATTATAATGCATTAAAGTTAACTTCAGATCTCTTGATGACCTTGCAAAACATTTTCTTTAATATATAATAATAAAAATTAGTCGCACCAATTTTAAGCTTGTTAAAATGGTTCAGATTATCTTGCATTATTGTAACTTTTTTTTTACTGTTCAGGTTTTATGTTTACAAGCTACCGAGAGAAAGAAATCATTTAAATCCACTTGTAAGGAGAGGAGTTGCATACATGCATTTGACTCCATCTAAATTGAGAGGTGGATGGATAATGTCTGATCTAGCTATTAGTGATCCAAAATCTATGGTTGGACGGACACTTGCACCATTATATCAGGTGAATACAAATAAGGTTAAAATAAAAATATATTTTTCTTTTAAATTACTCTTTATACATTTCAAAAACTGTTAATAAAGTGGTCATTACCACTTGTTAGCTGTCATGGTCCTACATAACCATGCTGCTGCGAAGCATATGAAATGACTGTAATAAAAAGAAATTGTAAATAAGTTTCACATTCACATTTCGCGTTTTAAACGGTTAAAATTGTTTTATTAAAAATTTTACTACTTGATTTAATTATAGACAGTACTTAATTACCATGTTATTTTTAATGTCCACAATCTTTAAGGAAAATATATTTTATGTTGTTAATATTTCCCAGGACAAAAATATCATATCCATGATCTATAATGATCAACCTCCATCAACAGAAAATAAACCTGACTTGTTGCAGTCTGTTGCAGAAATGTATTCAAAGAGCAAAAAAGGTTTGTAAAAAATATATATATTATGTAGTTTTAGGTGCAATATTAATTGTGCAAAAAATATTTTTTGTATATAACTTTCATGTTATTTAGGACAGCAGAAACAATCAAATACGAAGAAGTATAAAAAATTTAAACTAGGCGATAAGTATTATGACGACTACGATTTGGCTGAAATGTGTAAAATGCATTCAAGATTCATGAAAACCAGAGTGGAAAATGGTCATACAAAGGGGGTCATACTCGGGGACAAGTTCACTTCTTTATGGCTGGTACACTCGGTACCACGATTCCCACCAGTGCCTGATAGTAAGTTATTTTTCAATATTAATATTCAGTTTTAAGTCTGTCTTAAAATTCATTATTGAAATAAGGCTCCTAATATTACTATAATAACTATATTATTTTTAATATTTGCACAAGATGGCATTATTTATTAGACTGAAAAAAAATTATATCTAAAATGCTATGGATGTTCAAGTCCTGCACAGTCGTAAATTTTTATTAATCTAAAATACAATTTTAAAGTTATATTAATTTTAAATACGAAACGCTATAAATAATAAATAATTCAAACAACCATATTTCTTTTCCAGTGAATGGTCTCAATGGCACTTCATACAATTATCCAACAAGCGGCATGAAGTTTGGACAATCATTCCTCTGTGTCTCCGTCCAAACTGCCACACTCAACCAGATAGGAATGCAATTAAAGTACAATGAGCCATCTATTGTCTATCATCACCTACCAGCAGAATTTGAAAATGAGTTGCCCAATTTGATGGATGTTATAAGAAATAAGACTGTTGATGCTTCGCCCTGGTAAAGCGTTTTTTATTAAAGTAGGATTTTATCTTGAAAATGCACCAATAGATTGCCGTTGCACAATCTAAACTTTCGTATGTAATAAGGTGCCGCAAGGTACCGTAGGTAAGATGACGTGTTTAAAAGGTAACGAATAACGCAACGAGTTTTATACAATTCATATGAATTCTCATTATTGCAAAATAATAATAATTAAATTGGTTCACTATCAATGTTTTAAAACTCTAAATTATATTTTGAATTAATTGCTTTTTTTTTAATGAATTGCTACCATTAGACCAACGAGCTCGTCTATTTCAGGTACCACATAGAAAGTTTTGAGACTCTAGTCGGCCGCAAGTTCCTGTCTTTTGCAAAGAGCGCGATGTTCAATGATGATTTATACAGCGGTCTAGTAGCTGAAGTGCTGCAGTCAGACTTACTAGTGGAATCTTGGATGAATGGGCCTGGTACCTTAGACTCCGAATGCAATAGAAACTTTCAGTAAGTAAAATAACTAACACTTTGATTAAGCTATGATATTCATTTGTTTGGATATATTTAAGTTCTTGTTAGTAATAAATTAAATTTGTTTTAATAGAAGTAATGTTTACAAAGCTACTTAATTTTTCAAACTGTTCGGCCGTTGTAATTGAGAAATGGTTTACTACGGTCGAATATCTTGGAAATCAAAGTAGGTTAGCAATAAAATTTACAATGTATGTAACATTAGACATAGTCGAGAGACTTTTTCCCAGGCTAAAGTAGTCTTTTTAAATGTTTAAAATGTAACTGAAGGTTACACTTTGCCTATGAAAGCTTACATGTTCAAGAAAGTCATTGGGAAAATATTATGTATTTTACAATCTCTATACTTTCAGAGTACGAAACATAGAACGGCTCAAGTTTCCCATAGCAAAGATGTCATTCACATCACACAACGATCATTCGAAATGGGCAGTTGCTGTAGCGCATAAGATGCACAACAGCCAGGACACTAAAGTGGCGGACTACTGGGTCTGTGTTGGCGATATTAATAGAGCGGTAGGTCTAAAATAAGAATGTAGATTGCAACCTAGAACGTATAGCGCAGTCTGAACCTTAAATACCAGTAAAGCGGCAATAACAAGTAGGTTTATTGTTTTTCGTAAGTACTACCAGATTTCTAGTAGAAAGGCTCACCAATAAAGGACATCAGATAGTCTCAAATAAGTACAGTATGTAGTTCACGCGAGTGACGCATTTAAACACAACACGTTAAACGGTTTAAAACGCGAAATATATTAGTTATTTTTTTTACAATTTGTTGTAACTACGGCCCGACGTTTCGGATGTTTTGCAGCAGCTTGGTCTGCTTTGCGTTAAGTGTTTTATTTAAATTGTCTCTACTGCTGAAATATCTAAATATTCAAATAAAAAGTTTAGAGGGACATGTTTCTGTGTCGCGTTTATTTACAGTCGAGTAGATCAAACCCTGCTCGATCGAAACACTTTCGTGCTTAACGCTAAGCAATTAACCATCCAACTGCAAAGTTAAATAAGTTATACCGCATATATTTAATTAATATATGCCGATATATTAGCCTTAACACAGGCTTCTTTTGTAATGTAGCTTGTATTTTTCAGTTGCCACAAGAATCACGAGGCGGTGGAACAGTATGCACTTCCGGTCCCATACTGTGGGGTAACTTTGCTCATCTTATAGAGTCCGTTCAGACTTGTAATAATTAATTGTTAGTAAATTTATATTTCATGATCAGTTCGTGGCTTAATAGATCTTCAAAAGTGATATTACGTTTTAAACCTTATTTTGTAGTTATAAGTTGTACATAGTAAATTTAATCAATTTTGTATTGTGAAGTGAGAGGAATTGTAAATAATATATTTAGTAATTATTAATAATTATAAGGCTCTATATTTATTTTTAGTATTATTAGTGTTATAAAATTTTCTTTCTTTTGTACATACACGTTAGTATTAAGAAATCTAAATAATTGTAGTATTTCTGTTAGATTTTTAAAATACGTGATCTAGAATAGAATCTAAGCATTTAATGTTTTAAAATAAACGAATTTTCTTCTAACAGCCGTTTCTTTTAAAGCTGGTATGATATTATTTTGTTATTTCCTTAGATTTTTTAAATTCCCTAGAACCACACGTGCGATAAGAATTTAATAGCGCACTAGAAATATTGTGTATACTGTGTTAGAATGAACAAAATGTTATTTTACATTTTTTATTTAATTTTCCTTGTGTACTGTAACGGATCAGATATTAAAGGGTGGTATTACATAAATCTACATTGTAGAGACAATGAAGATACTCCCGTCGATTGGTAAAAATCATTATTTCTTCTAATGTATTCAGTAGATACTTGTTAGAAAACCTTTTTTATGATAAAGGAGGGCAAACAAGGATGGGGGTCCACTTGATGGTAGGTGAAATATCCCAACCACCATATCTCAATGAGATGCGCTGGCGATCTTTTTTGGCTATGGATATGGAAATCCACAGACTAATCTAGACGCAATTTCGATATTCCTACCACCCATCTAATATCTAGATTTCTAGAAGTCCAAAATGTTTCGGAAAAGTTGTAAATTGATTAGAAAACTAGAGGACCTGGTGGGGATCGACCCATGACCCGTTGATGGGCATTAGACCAACAAGCCCGTCAATTTTTCATTTATTTATGCCTCGCATTATACAACTAAGTGAATACTTTATGTATGACATGGAAAAGTGTTTATGTATTTACTTAAAGGAAAATATATTATGCGTTAATAGCCTTAGGTGTCCCTCATAGTAAGACTACCAGGATCTTTACAACTACAGGCTGCCCTTTGTTCAGTTTAAAGTAAAATCAATATTTATTAATAGGTGGTTTATCTATAAACCTCCGAGTGAGGAACTGCCTTACAGCCGATCAGGAAGTAATTTTACCTTCATCACGTCTGATGAAGCCATGCGATGGCATCCTTCGTCCCCTCCAACGAATATTAACGCGAATTCCTTACTACAAAATACACTATCGCCAATGTTCAGGGTTAGGTTAGGGGGTTTAGTTGAAGTTTCACGTTTACCTTATTTATGCATCAGGTTTTATAATTAAGAGGTTTTTTTTTATTTATATTCATAACCAACATATTACTGTTACCAACCAAACATGATATTTAGTCCAATGCGTTTTTTATATCTCTTTTGCAAACGCTCCTAACGCTGTGTGTTATTTATTTATAGAGTTGCTGTCATAATAAGCACCCATATCTATACTAATATTATAAAGCTGACGAGTTTGTCTGTTTGATTGAACGCCCTTATCTCAGAAACTACTGGTTCGAATTGTATTATTAAAAATATTTTTTGTATTGTTAGACCGTTTATCGGAGGCTTTAGGTTATAAAACCACAAACTTCAAAAATAACAGTTATGAAACAGTGGTAGATGTGAAAAAAACGTGCAAAACTATTTAAAAAAAACGCTTTAATGGTTTAAAACACGATATATTAGTTGAACTTATTTGAAAATTATTTTTAACTACGGCCCGACGTTTCGGATGTTTTGCAGCAGCCGTGGTCACGGGGAGACTCCCCCGTGTCCTTTAAAGTCCAAGTTTAACTAATATATATCGCGTTTTAAACGGTTAAAATGTTTTATTTATATATTTACTACTCGCTTAAACTACAGATGGGTAAAACTATTCATCTGCAAGAGTTTTTGTTGCGTTCTGTTATATATAGGCTATGTATGTATTAATGCTGATCCCTCTGTAACCAATGCCGAGTCAGTACTTGTGACAGCTCATAGGCTTTGTCTTTAGAAATTAGTGCAGTTCAATCTGATCATCCGCGCGTGACACTTGCCATCCTACTTTTATTCTAATTGACTAATAAAGTCTTTAATTAAAATAATTTCGTTTTTTAAAAAGGCCTTCGGCTGAATCCTTATAACAATTTGGTGGCAGCGGTGGGATACCGATGGTGAAGGTATCCTCGGTACGTCTCCGTCCTAGTTCGTTAACAAAAGTGGAAAAGTGATCTTTACGCGAGTGTCATAAAACGCAAAACATTGAACTCATATCCGAATTCATTTTATCCAAAAACATATATATGTGAACATTGAATCTCTGAATAATCAAGTGTTTAAATACCAAATCGTAATCGCTTATTCTCATCCGCCAAAGTGCCAAAACCTGTAAAGGAAATTTGTGTAACCTGTGTAGAATAATCACCGCGCAATCTTACCGCGGAGCTGTGTGTGTGTAACCTATAACCCTACGTCGTTCCGGAAGGATCTTCAAATTTTGACACTATTGTGTCCTTGGAAGGTGACCATGTTCCTGTATTTTATCTGCGCGTTCCTGTAAGTTCTATTTCAAATACTATACATTTTGTGAAAGTGAAACCGGTGAATTTCTAGTGTGTGTGTTTTTCAGTGAAATAATACGTACTTCTATAAACTGTTTAAATACTTATGTTCAAAATTTATTCATAACCAGCACTGTCGTTCTAGATAAGGAAGCTCCGAGGCTTATCGTTTTCTTAGAACTCGACTCGCCTCAGTACTAAACCATAACATAGTGGCCGTCTATTACACCGTACTGTTATTTGATTATTTTATTTGAGTTCTGTTACATTTTATTTTAAGCAAAATGTCTTTGAGGGAATTGAGTATTAAACACGAAAAGGTCGACATAGAAATCGGTACTTTATTTAAATTTATAAAATCATTTGATGGTACACGTGAAAAATTAAACTCATTTTTGTCAAATTGCGATAACGCAATCAGTTTAGCATCGGAAACACAAAAACCTATTTTGTTTAAATATATATTGTCACAATTGAATGGTAAAGCTGAAACGGCCTGTTCAATTAAAGAATTCGATTCGTGGGACCAATTAAACCATTTCCTTAAAACACAATTCGGGGAAACCAAACATTATACTCACTTATTAGCTGATTTGCAAGAGTGTCGTCAACTTAATATAGAACCTGTAAACCAATTCGCCCTACGAGTTGAGACTTGCCTGTCGAAACTATTAACCGAAGTAACTTTGTCCAACAAGAAAAAAACTGAGCTTCTCGGTCGCACAGCGGCAATGGAAGACTTAGCACTCCACACTTTCCTACTTGGTCTTAAACCTGACATTTCAAATTTAGTCCGTGGCAAAAACCCATCTACTCTTAATGAAGCTATTAATTTAGCTACATCCGAAGAAAAAATTCTCAATCTTTTCGCCAAACGCAATTCTCACACATCGGTTCCTCAGCGCCAAGGTTCAAAACCTAACTACTCTTTCAAGCCTTTTCCTAACACAAATGCCAGGCCCCATATGCCAAAACAACCTGATCGACATGACCCAATTCCATTTTGTCGGTATTGCAAAAATCAAGGTCATACAATCGAAGTTTGCAGGAAAAGAGAGTATAATAACAATAAATTCAAAGTTTCCCAAATCCCTCAATTCCAACAGCGCCATAATCAAGATTATAAACCTGCTCGTGTCAACTGTGTCGTTGACGAGAACGAATATTGTGACTCCAAACCACAACCATCTACCAGTACATATAATACTCAGTTTTATAACGACGATAGTCGTTTAAACGAATAGTGGGTCAACGGAGGTGTCTCGTGAGACCCAAAAATTTACCTTTAGCTATAACCTTAAACCATAACGACACCGTTTCTATATCCAAGGACCACACGGGTAACCAGCCCCAAGCAAGTGTCCACATTTCCAAAATCAGGGACCACACGGGTAACCAGCCCCAAACAAGTGCCCAGACTTCTATATCCAAGGACCACACGGGTAACCAGCCCCAAGCAAGTGTCCACATTTCCAAAATCAGGGACCACACGGGTAACCAGCCCCAAACAAGTGCCCAGACTTCTATATCCAAGGACCACACGGGTAACCAGCCCCAAGCAAGTGTCCACACTTCCAAAATCAGGGACCACACGGGTAACCAGCCCCAAACAAGTGCCCAGACTTCCAAAACCAGGGACCACACGGGTAAACAGCCCCAAGCAAGAGTCCAATATCATTCAAAACCCACTAAACCTGTTCATAAAATTCTTGAAAATGAGGAAATATATGAAATTTCATCCATTCCTAATAAAATGTATTTGCCATATGTTGTTGTGCAAACATCAGTAGCCAATAAACCCCTTCGGTTTCTTGTCGATACTGGATCTTCTATATGCCTCATCCAGAATTCCTCCATCGAATCCTTTTCTCACCTGCTACTTAAAGGTAACATAATTAAAATTAAAGGTATAAACAGTCGTGACGATACCATGGCCACTCTCGGTGATTTTGATATGAATCTCATATTTGGTAAAGAATCTATTCCCTTTACTTTCCATATAATAGAACAAGTACACTTACCTTATGATGGTATTATAGGAAATGACCTACTTACCCGTTTCCAATGTTCCGTAGATTACAACCGTCAAATCCTCAACTTAGAAAAAAATAAAATCAAACTTAATTTTACTGATCCAACTTACCAAATACCTCCTCGTTCTGAAATCACCGTCGAGTGCTCTGTCGTTAACCCTGAATTAAAAGAAGGTCTAATTTTAGATCAGCATATTAGTGAAACCCTTTTTATTGCTAACTGTTTAGTTAGAGTAAAAAGTAATAACCGAATTAACTTAACCGTCCTTAATACCTCTGAAACTCCTGTTAAATTAAATTCTAATCTCCTACTTACCTTACATCCAGTAGATTTTGAACCTTGTCTATCGAATTATATTTCCAATAAGTCTTGTTTAGATAGGACCAATGAGGTCCTTAATCTCCTTCGGGTATCACACTTAAATACCGAAGAACGCGAAGCCCTTTACGATCTTTGCTCTAATTATTCTGATATTTTCCACTTACCCAACGATATACTTACCTCAACGGATGCCATTCAACATGAAATAAGAACATCCTCAGACCAACCCATTAACGTCAAGTCGTATAGATTTCCCGAAGTACACAAAGAAGAAGTAAATTCCCAAATCAAAAAGATGCTTGACCAAAACATAATTCAACCTTCCATATCCCCTTGGTCCTCTCCAATATGGATTGTGCCGAAAAAAATTGACGCTTCCGGTCAAAAGAAATGGCGTGTAGTAATAGACTATAGAAAATTAAACGACATAACTATCGGTGAAACTTATCCAATTCCAAACATTGTTGAAATTCTTGATCAATTAGGTAATTCTAAGTATTTTTCGACCCTTGACCTTGCATCAGGTTTCCATCAAATTACAATGGCGCAACACGACGCCTGTAAAACAGCCTTCAGTGTTCCCCAGGGACATTTCGAATTCACTCGAATGCCATTCGGCTTAAAGAATGCCCCATCAACCTTCCAACGTTTAATGAACAACGTCCTCACTGGCCTTCAAGGAGAACGATGCTTTGTGTATTTAGATGACATCGTTTCGTATGCCCATAGTCTCCCAAACCATATCAAAAACCTCACAGAGATTTTCGAGAGACTCCGATCCTTTAACTTAAAACTTCAGCCTGACAAATGTGAATTCTTAAGAAAAGAAGTTGGCTACCTAGGACATATCATTACAGAAAACGGGTTGAAACCCGATCCAAATAAAATTAAATCCGTACAAGAATTTCCTATACCTAAATGTCCTAAAGACATTAAATCGTTCTTAGGTCTCATTTCTTACTACAGACGCTTTATATCTGATTTCTCAAAACTATCCAAACCACTAACAAACTTATTAAAAAAGGATACTCCCTTCGCATGGACTAATGAACAACAACTATCTTTCGAAAAGCTCAAGGAAAAACTCGTCTCTGCCCCGGTTCTAATATACCCGGATTTTACAAAGAATTTTAACCTCACTTGCGATGCATCTAACTATGCAATATCTGCTATTCTTTCTCAAGGTCCTGTTGGAAAGGACCACCCTATAGCTTATGCTTCCAGAACTTTGAACAAATGCGAAACCAACTATAGCACAACCGAAAAAGAATTGCTGGCTATAGTATGGGGTTGTAAAACTTTCAGACCATACTTATTTGGACGCAAATTTATAATCATAACAGACCATCAACCATTAAAATGGCTCTTTAATCATACCGATCCCAGCAGTAAATTGCAACGTTGGCGTCTTCAACTCCAGGAATTCGAATATGAAATAGTATACCGCAAGGGTAGATTAAATTCAGCAGCCGATGCCCTTTCTCGCTACCCTGTTAACCCTATATATCCTGAAAATTCTCCAAATTCCCCTAATAATGACTTAATTGATCCTAGGCTCTTAGACATTAGCCCTTTTAACGCTGAACCTTACGATTTTAGTCCTTTAAATATCCCAAGTCCAGAATACTTACCCGAACCTCTTCCCGCAATACTTCCGTCATCCGAAAATGCGACGTTAGACATTGTTCCAAACTCTATTCCTGAAAATATTGAAATCGAAAATCAACCTCAACCTTCTACTAGTACCGAAATACCAAATATATTATACCCGCATCCTATAATAAGAGAACCTACAATTGAACCTGCCGATACTTACACAAGATTTTTGAAATTACCATTATCTGTAAATCACGATACAATAATTACTGAACATAATGACAGCATACTAAAAACCCAAAATAAAATTCTAATAATACCTACATCCCTTGACCTCGATGAGTCTATTCCATATGTTCAAGAAATTCTTTCAAACTCATCAGATTCCGAATCATTTATTGCTTCAGAAAAAACTTTACATTCTTATAAACTATTTTCATACAACAATAAAGCCTACTATTTTTTATTCACCAAGGTGCATCACTTTGATACCTGCTCGTATAGTGATATCTTTGAGTCTATTAAAAACCTTCGGAATTACTTAATTTCTAATAAAGAACCTATCAATAAAGTGAGCATTACTGATTTCAAGAACCCGTTTGACAAACATGTTTATATTAAAATCTACAATATATTATCTTACCTGTTTCACAATACCAATATTCAAATTGACATGTACCATAATAAGACATACTATCCCAGCCCGTCTGAAGTACCAAAAATCCTACGAGAAAATCATGACATTCCTATCGCTGGACACTTAGGGTCCAATAGAATGTTTAACAGAATCCGTGAACAGTATTATTGGAAAAATATGCGGAGTGAAATAGAAACCTATGTAAAAAATTGTATTCCATGTCAAACAAACAAAGCTCTCAGAAAAATCAATCGTGCACCAATGCAAATCACAACCACTTCCACAACTGCCTTTGAAAGATTATCCCTTGACATAGTTGGTCCTCTGCCCGAATCCGGTACAGCCAAAATAAAATATATCCTAACTCTTCAAGACGATCTGACAAAATACTCTGTAGCATATCCGATCCGCAGCACTACCGCTGAAGAAACCAGCGAATGTTTAATTCATTTCATTTCCTTATTTGGCATACCAAAAACTATCCTTACCGATCAAGGCACGAACTTCACTGCAGAAATGTTTAAAGAAACCTGTAAATTTCTGAAAATTAAACAACTTTGGTCCTCGCCTTATCATCCACAAACACAGGGAGCATTAGAAAGAAGCCACTCCACCTTAAAAGAATATCTAAAATCATACATATGCGAAAACCAAAACAATTGGCCGCAATATGTATACACGGCCATGTTAGCCTATAATACTGCAGTGCACTCGACGACCAACTACACTCCTTACGAGTTAGTTTTCGGTCACAAACCCTTCCTGCCTAACTCAATATATGAATCAACTTCTAACGTCACTTATCCTGATTATATTAGAATGTTACAACATAGACTAAAGATCACCCGAGAAAAAGCCATTGAACATATTAACAAATCTAAAGAATCTTCAAAAAATTATTATGATGCCCATAGCCGCCCTATAAGTTACAATATTGGCGACTATGTTTACCTAAAAAACCATCTTCGTATGAGAAAAGCTCTGTCTCCAATTTGGAAAGGGCCTTTTAAAGTTATCAAAATAAATGGCAGAAATAGCTTAACATTATTGATAAATAGGCGACATGTAATCCATCATTTTGATGAAATAAAGTTAGCTCGCCGTCATAATAGCTAACTATATAATATATCTTATCCAACTATATCTTAATCTAGATAACCAATATTTTTAACATTTTAACATTTATCTCAGATATATCATAAGTATAGAATAGTCCAACTTATATATACAATAAGAGATAAGATTATTTAGTTTAATTATTATTTACAGTTCCATGTCCTCCGCACAGGAAATCTTCATCGAAACATCAAAAAATACATCCGGCATTTACTTCGATCCTATCGGGTTACTTAAAATAGTAGACGGTCACCTTAGTGTTGTAATTCCCATAGACATTTCTTACATAGAATCACACATTAAAAATCTGAACGGTGTGATAGGCAGCTCTAAGTTCCTGTGTAAGCAAAATGAATTGTACACCGATATCGAATGTCTCAACCTACTACAGCCTTTATCTATTAGGTACCATGATATTATTCAGGACTTTGAATCCATATCACATTTAATCGAGTCCAGACCCAAAAGGTCGGCTTGGATCAGCGGAGTTGGTACCGTTTTCAAACATGTATTTGGAACTATGGATGAGAATGATGCCATACAGTACAGTAACGCTATTCAACTCATTGAGAAAGATCAAACCGAAATATCTAAATTAGTTAAACAAAATATACTCGTTACAACTACCACACTTTCAAGCTTTAAAGACGCTCTAAACAAAATCAATATCAACGAACAACAATTAAATAGCGCCATTGATACCCTAGCTAATTCTCAACAAAATCTCACAATACTTTCCAATAGTTTACTATTAAAATCAAAGTTTAACGAAATTATCACTATACTAGAAAGCAGTTTATTGACACTGTCATTTAAATTAGAAGACATAATTAATGCAGTAATGTTTAGCAAAGCCAACATTTTATACCCGTCAGTAATAACTCCAAAACAGCTATTTTTAGAGTTGGTCCAAAACCATCGATTTCTAGCTGATTATCACCAATTTCCTTTGAGCCTCTCTTTGGAAAATATTTACACACTCATGAATGTTTCTGAATTAGCTACATATTATAGTGATAATAAAATAATATTTATATTGAAGATACCACTTGTAAATACAAAAACCTATTCCATATACCATAACATTCCATATCCTGTTGTTGTGGCTAACAACACGTATACATCTATAATACCATCTACTAAGTATATTGCTATTACTAGAGATAGGTCATACTATTGTAAGTTAGATAGTTTAAGTAACTGTAAGATACTATATAACTCGAATTATATATGTAATGACTTAAATGTGTATTCTAGCTCCGTTAACCCGATCTGCGAATCGGAGATAATATCAAAAGCACTAAATACTGTTCCTAATATCTGTAAAACTAAATTTCTAAGAGGACATATAGATATTTGGCAACCATTATCTAATAACAAATGGATATACGTCATTACAAATCCATCTAAACTGTCCATAGACTGTAAGAACTCCACTACCGAAATAATATTGTCAAACACGGGCATACTGAACCTACCTATCAACTGTATAGCATTTTATAAAGACTCAAGGTTAATACCCAAATATTCAGAAACCCTTCAATTACAACCTATTCAAGTTAATTTCAATCTAATAGAAAACTCCTGTTGCAATTCTGAAACTTTACAAAAATCTGAACGGCAATTACCTATCTTAAACCTCTCCAATATTAACCTTGACTCTATCACATCAAAACAATACATGACAAACCAGATTGTTGATGACCTCGAGAATATTATTGAAAAGCCACATATTGTATTATACGGCGCATACTACTCATATACCACTATTGTAATTTCTGTAATCATTTTTGTTTTTATTTTAGTATTTCTTTGTAAATTTGTAAGATCTGGCAACTGTCATCGCTATCTCAATAAAGGTAGAGTTAAACACGAAATTGAAAACCCTGAAGAACTGTCAGGAGTTGCTGTCGGTTCCTCTATACCTGTACCCAGACTCCGTTCATCTCCTATATAAACTCAACCCTTTAGGGATAAGTTTATATCTATCCCCGGGGGCTGTTATATATAGGCTATGTATGTATTAATGCTGATCCCTCTGTAACCAATGCCGAGTCAGTACTTGTGACAGCTCATAGGCTTTGTCTTTAGAAATTAGTGCAGTTCAATCTGATCATCCGCGCGTGACACTTGCCATCCTACTTTTATTCTAATTGACTAATAAAGTCTTTAATTAAAATAATTTCGTTTTTTAAAAAGGCCTTCGGCTGAATCCTTATAACAGTTCGCTCCGAAAACGGTTCAAAATACCCAAAAAATATTATGAATGTGTTCCTGTTTATGTGATCTTAAAGAATGTCCGGGACACAATATGTCTATCTTTTGAGCTTAACTTCCAAGAACGAAGGGACGCAAGCGACGTCGTAGGAAACATCTATAATTTATTAAGACTTTCGGGCATCAAATAACAATACTACGCGGAGGAAGTCGCTGGCACAGCTATTTATAGACACGATAATTCCTAATAGTAATATTAATACACTTGTTGCGTATATATGTACTTAATAGCCAAATATATTAACACAGCCAACCTATACCGACAATATAGCTATAGCTATTTACGATGGGATTGAAGACAACGAGAGCCTGAGTTCAGCATCTCGTGGGGTTTTACTGGCTGATGATTTGGGAGGAGTTTGGGTAGGACACACTGTGCCGAACCTTATTAACTTGAAACGTAAGTAATTCAGGGTATGCATATATATACATACAATTGCGAGATATTTATATGTCGATAAAATCTATCAAATCCTATAAATGTAACTACACCCAGATAGTTACACTAAATAAAACTACGAAAGAACCAATGGTGCTAGCAACTTTGACATTAGGGACACCCTCCCTAATCTTTAGTAAAAATAAGTTTAACTAATATATTCTTCATTGAAATGTGACGACCGCGTATACTACAGACATGAATGTTAATAGGCACCTCTAACCAGCAACAATAATTACAAAATTTCAGGTTCAAATCTTTCTGACCCAAACTTTGTGATGGATAAAATATGCTCCATTCTTAATTAAATACTAACATAAAATTAGAATATATAATTTATGTTTAAAGGTGGTCAACCGATAGTTCCCGAGGCAGAAATACCAAACGGTCACTCGTTTGTATGTCTCTCAGTAGATCTGTCGACGGTTAATCAAATCGTTAAATACTTAAGATCTACGTCCGCTCAATTTACCCACGTCCATATACCTAGGAGTTTGCATCACCGTTTGCCTGAGTGGGACTTCTCTGTGGTGCCAATGTATGTAAGAAGTTTCAAGTATTATCTGTGGGTTACACGAGTAATACGCATTTATAACTAATGTATGTATGTTTGTATGACCGTAACATGTAATTACTTCTTACCCTTAATCATATGATTAACGCACATACATACAGTATACGTGAGTAGTACACGCGTATACTGTATGTAATATTGGATATTATTTTAACTACGACACGACGCTTCAATTTCCAAATAAGTTTAATTAATATACATCGCGTTTTAAACCGTTAAAGTGTTTTGTTTAAAAGGCACAAGATGCTTATTATATCAAAGCTAAGACTCACTTTCAATTCCCTGTATAAAATTACTTACGAGTATGACGTATACTAAGAATTAGGGTACTAACCTAAGTCTACTAGTAACGACATTATAAATTTTAATTACTTCAAGGACAACATTACGACCCTTGGCATTCAACACTGCAGCTAAAACCCTATCTGCCGAGCTTCACGTTAAACCGCCAGGCGATAAACAGTGCTTATACAAATCATTTGCAAGGGCGAAACGTATAGTTCTGGATGTTTATGGTCAATCTGACCATGAATACTTAAGTACTGTTTGTGGGAATCATTACGGGTATGACGTTGCATAAACAATAGACTTAATAAGATAGTACACGACTACACGTTTCTAACGGTTTTAAATGGTTAGATACAGTCTTGAGTTGTTTTACAGAAAACGACTACAGATAAAGATATTCAGTACATTTATAAGGGGGACGGCGCGTACGCAGTCCCCACTACCAAAAATTACGCGTCCGAGTTATCCACATTAGGGATAATCGCAGAGGTCAACTCAACCGCAGTGCAATGGAGAAGTCTCGCTCTGGGGGAACCGCCTTCATGATCACGGTATCCCCTACGCCAGGTAAGTATGCTTTCATCTACGCACTGAGAGGTCTTATCCGAGCGACGACTGATCTCTACAGCACGATTCAGAAAACACGTTAGCTAAACGCACGCCATCTCTTGAGCTTCTATCGTACTAAGAATCCCATATTTTATACTGAATTAGTACCAGCGCCATCTATTCTACTTCAAATGTTAAGTTAATTTTAATAATAGTTTTACAACGCCGATAGTTTGATTTATTACTACGTTGATACGTTTTTGTTATTAAAATTACATTACATTATTTAAGTGTTGAGTTATTATTCGCAATCGGTTTTATAGGAAATGGCAATTGGTTTTGTGTATAACGTTAACTTTTCTTTTAGCATTCGGAACATAGAGAATATTTCACTGAAAATACCAGACCGCGTATTTTACTTCAACAATATGACGGATAAAATGCGATTCGCTGTCAGCACAGCGGCTCATTGGCAGAGACGTGGTTCTGGGTAAACACAGTACTGGACCTGTTTGAGTTATTTGGACAAAGAGGACACTTTTGGAATCGCTGGGCATCTGCTATGTTTTCGCAGCTACGACATTTGGTTGGCATTTGACAATTTTAAAATTAAGGAGCCACAGTGCTAAATAAAAATTAATGGATCATACTCACTACTCAGTGTTTTAAATAGAGATTTTTTGTGACTACAAATAAGACTTACTACCTAACATATAATATGACATCTTCCTACATCATCCGAAATCGATAAATAAACATAGTGCGATAAAATTACTACTAAAAAATAATAGCACTATTATACGTACACGTAATGTTTATAATTATTTATTACAAAAAGATGGTAAGAAAAAAACATAATAAGTATTTGCTTACCCACGAGATGACAAAAAATACAGATCGTATTTTGAATGTTGTTAGCGTAAAGATAGCAAAGCGTTACAATATTATTATAGCTACCACTAAAACTTACCAATTTTCTCCCAAGAACATCCGGTCAAAGTGAACATCGTTCCTCGCCACTTTGCCCAACTCAATCGTCCCACCATTCCATTGGCTAGCAGAAATCTGTAATGTTGGTTTCCGCTTCTGGCAGATTTGACAACTGTCAAACATACCTAATACATTCCTTACATCAACATAAGTAATATGTAGTAATTGATTTACTCTTTGTGCTAATTTAAAAATATTCAAAATAAAGTAACTTTAAACATACGATTAGTATCTTGGCACCAGGAATACTTGAAACCGGAAATTCAGGATATATCGTGATAACGGACGATACTGAAGATGGCTGATGGTTTGATTGAAGAATATTTATATAATAAGTTTTCATGAGAATTTTTAAAAATGAATTTGATTTTTTTTAATTTAAACTAATTTCTTTGCAGTCTTGTTGGAATGTTAACGTACAAGTGCCATATACAATCTAAGCATCAAGGTCAATAAACAGGTATGTCAGAAAATTAATCTGTTTTATAAATAGTACAATTTGTAATTAAATTTAAATTAGGCTATTTATTTTTAGATAGGAAATGAAGAAATAAATCAACTAGTATATTTATTAAACTTTGTATTTACAAAATATTCCCAACATCTACAAAACAAATGTTAGAAGTTCATAAGCTTGCAATTCTAGAATAAAAACTATATAAATAAAATGTATAACTATACAAATCTCAATCTTACAGTAATTTAAGTATATTTTGGAAAATTAATGAATATAAATAATTAATGAATGCGATTAATTTTTGATATCTCAGACGCTTTTCAGCGCTTTTTTGTGTTAAATATTAAGCATTAAAGACATGTTTGTCAAGTCAAATCAAATCATATTTCATACTATAACATTCATTCATATTAGTCATGGCAGTGCATTGTGCAAAATACATTCTAGTTTCATTTTTCGTTGTCGAGTCTAAGCGATAAGATACATTGACTATATATTATGTGTCAATCAAAATTAGTACATTTTTGGCACTAAACATCCACTTCCCCGTGCCTTCAAGGGACAAGTAGGTCGCTTCAAATTCAAGCAAATTCGCTGTTTAAGTGTGTAATAATACATCGAATAAAATGCCGTTTTAGCTCGATTATAAAAGCTAAGCTTAAGTCTGATATAAACAAATATTATGCTTAATTTTTTTGTGACTGTACCTTATTTGTTAGGACGCCATAACATTTTCAATATGTTTACAATACTTAGCACATTTCATACTCAATTTTTTAATTTCCCGGACGTGTTTCAGAAAAATTTTAATCATGTTGGACCCGATGGGCATCGAACCCTCGACCCGTTGATTTTTAGCCATACTACCATTACACCCATGAGCCCGTTGAAAGTATCCTATCAAGTTGATAATATCATCGCAGAAGTGTTTAAGCTTGTAAGTCCGAATTGAAATTTAAACAAAAATTGTTTCGCATCCTCCATCAAGCAAGTACAGAAAATATCATGGCGAGACTCTCAAGGACGGCATTCTCGTGAACCAAGAATCTTGCTTCATCTTCAGATAATAGGCGTCTCTCGGTGAGGGGGAGGTAAGGGCTTCCTCTAAGACCTTGAGGGCGCTGGTGGGGAGCACTTTGGCGCTGTATTCGGCTGCTTCGCCAGGCATAGTCACGGCGCAAGTCGCCGTTGATGAACTTACATCTGAACTAGGCGTTTCCGGGCGGCTGTGACGAGTAATAGTATTAAAAAAAATTGATCGGTGCTAGATTCAAATACATTTAACTGAAATTTAACGTGTAAGTTAGATCCCGTTTATAAAGGCTTTTATTTTATTAACTTTTATTTTATAAAAAATAAATGTTCTTTCTATAAAGCCTTAAGCAGAGGGTTATATTTCTTTGGAGATCTTCTCGTTTTATGTAATAAAGTTCTACCTGACTGGTTGACTAGGCGGTGCTAATTGTACGGGAGGGGAATACAGTTCCGCCGCAGATAAATCAGGAGTGTGCAATAAGACCACGTGAAGTCTGCGCGCGCGCAGTGAAGCACGTAATGCCCTTGCTGCGCCCCAAGTGCCCCAACGAACCGCCGCTGCGCCAGCGCTGCTCTCACCGGCTTCTCCATCCAAACGGGATAAACTTTCGCAAGCTGTGTCTGATGTTAATCCTGAAATTGTATAATTTCAAATAATAATCGGTGACACAGGAGTCGAATGCACGATAGATGTTCTTTCTTCTTCCTTAGTTCTTCTCGTAGTTTATAGTTAATGCACTATGCAATGTTATAGTTAATGATTTACAATGCAAAATATATTAATTAATAAATGTTCAAATACGATGGTGTTGCTGTTTTTACAGCATTAATTGACTCGCGTTTGAAACCGATCAAAATGTTTTCTAAATGTATCCTAGTTTTATATTGATACAAATTATTGTAAAGTTTACCTATATAAAACAATCGGCCTGCGTATGGATGATCTGAGGCGGCTGCAGCCAAAAGTGGAGCGAAGGTTCTGGCTACCCGCAGAGCGCCAAGCACATTTCCTCTTAAAGCCGTCTCCCAGCAAGCAGCACCTCCACGTCCACTACTACCAGCAGTGTTAATCACGGCCCAAACGCCTGGAAATTTTATTTTTGCAAATATATCATCATAATACTACATTATACTTAGATTATTTTGATATTAACCATTCGAAGAATTACAAATCGATACAGTTAAGTATAGTGACATCTAGTGTGTATCTAACAAAACTCTGAAACAAAAAAGCATCGTAATACGGCATTCTTCGCGAATGGTGTCAATAGGAGGCGCTAGCTGTACCATTAACATCTTATAGTTACTTTATAACCACGTGATGGGTTCAAAGACCTAACATTTGAAATTATTATTTTACCATAAGTCTAAGTTACAAATTTTAAACTTATAAACTTAATCTGATTTCAGGAAAAAAAAATATTTTAATTGAATAATCATTAAGTTTGTTTATAACTTGCATTAAAAAGATGAGTTTTTGAGGATGTAATAGGCAATATGAAAATCACAAGGACACGTAGGTGTGTATACTTGGATGCTAGAAAGGTCTTATTAGACGAAAACTACACATTTAACTTATTTTCGTGAAAATTAAAATAATAAAAGCTATAAAAAACGCGTGCTAAAATAGTTTATATAAACAATAATTAATAAATGTCGATAAATAATGTTTAAGTTCATTCTACAATGTTTAATATTTGGTTACTACTTGTGATTTGATAAGGGAGGAATTGAAAATCAGCGCTTAGAAAGCCTTGCTGGGTTAAAATTTTACTTTTTTTCATTCTTTTACTTGTAAGTACTTTTTATTATTTATTTTAGTTGTAGATTATATGCGCTGTGTTAATAAACGGAATATTTATTTATTTAATATATCAAAGACTGACCATGTTCACCGGCTGGTAAATGTTGAGCGGTTGCACGCGCTGCTTCTTCCAGCAAATCTTCTCTAGCAACGTCCAATTCTAGTGTGACCAGCCTTGGCGTTGGTTGGTTTTCAGGGGTTGAAGCTACGTGATTCTGAAGCCAGGATTCGGCGAGGCGTGCACCAAGACCGCCAGGTCGGCATCCAGCGATCACCCGCCAACCACGGCTGCTTAGATATGTCGCAATCTGAAGGTTGTTTCGTAAAAATGGATTGAATATTCATAATGTTTACAATTTAAATAATTTGATGGCACAATTCAGTTTCAGTTTATTCTTAAGGAAGTTTAAAAGTTCTTTTCAACTGTTGTGCATTGAAGTGGTACTATCCAAACTTGTCAGAAGTACTTTACTAGAGTAAGGTATTTCTAATATACTTAAGTTTCATGTTTGTACAATACTCTTTGTAAGAGGAGACAAGGGTTTCCCCAATGGTAGGTGGAATTCCCCAGCCAAATAACATACAAACAAGACGCGCTGTTAATCTATTTCGGCTATTAGATATTCGGAAATTCAGAAACTTGACGGCTTTTTCATCTGCGTACGGTGGTTCGTGACCCGGATGGAATTTCGATATTCCTACCACCCATTTTGTATCCAGATTTCCAAACGACGGCCAACATGTGTCAGAAAAATTATAAATTGGAAACGTCTTAGACCAGGTGGGGATCGAATCCACAACCCGTTGATTGCTACCATTGCACCAAGGAGCGTGTCAAAATTTCTTGTTTATTTATTGTTTGTGGAATATGTGGTACCTGTAACCCTAAGGCAGAGTCAACGGACGTCACAAGCACTGTCTTCGCGCTCTCAACCGGTAGCACTTCAGCCACCTTCACCTTCCGCAGTAGGTAAAGCAGCAGGGCGCCCACGATTGAGCATAGAGCTGCTAGCTGCAGGCCAAGGGATAACCACGTTAGCGTATCCATTACTGCCTGCTCATTTTATCTGAAACAATATTAAAAATATATTTTTATATTTGAACTGCTATTTATATAATATTTAATCATATATTTGTAATAATAATAGTATGTATTTCTTTTTATACACTTTATATGTTTAACCAATGGTAATTTCTAATAAATAAATCGGTATATTTAGCAGTTTATTAGAAGAGGAATTAATGCCATAAAAGCTTTTATTTACGTAAATAAATATGTATTTTATTTAAAATAAAGTAGGAGAGTTAAAAATGACTTATTTTTTATTTTTGCTACACGTTTTTATATCAATCTAGGTGCGTACGTTAAGATTTATTATTTTGTATTAAGGATACGGTCAATCCCTGTTTTATATAAATCCTTCACAACACTATACGCAATCAGAAACACAATGCAAACAAACGATTAACTTGTACCACAGACTATGTCTTTGTCTGTAAAGTCTGTGGAGTCTGAAGGCGATTAGACTTTAATTGTTCGTTCGTGTTTGTCAACAAACGGCGCTGTCTGCGGATGTGATTAGTAAATAAAGACGACAATGCCCATTCAAGAGACCGTTGATTGTATTTTATCTATCTAGTTAAATGGTTAGATCAAATTTACAAGATATACGTGTATATAAATTTACAAGGTATAATTGAACTGCCTGGTACCTTGGTTAGCGCAGTGCAAGAGTATAAATATTCCTAAGATTTTAAGAAAAGCCCAATAAAAAATACTAACTCAAATACTCCGTTTAGCAGTCAGCTATCATCTATATATTAATTTAAGAAGCTGAAGAGTTTGTTTGTTTGTTTGTTTGAACGTGCCAATCTCAGAAACTACGGGGTCGAAATAAAAACCAAAAAAATTGGGAAAATTATTCATCATTATGGGTTTCCGAGGCGTACGCTGAAAAAACGATTCAAGATATCCAAAAAATAGGAATAAAAGAATTATTCCTCTTTGAATGATAAAAAAAGCTATATAGGCGCAATGAGGCAGCGTGCTAAGATATTAAAACTAAATGCAACCTGTGCAACATTAACTAAGTTAGAACGATATAATTTTATTACTCAAGCACCAAAGACCAAGCATAAAAAAATATATATTCAATAAGTATTCTACGTCACGCTTTAATACGCGACAATAATTTGTTTCAGAAAAGAAAAAGAAAATATATCCGTTATATTATAAAGAAAACCTTAGATTTTACGCTCTATTAACTTTCCGTTTTCTTGTAGCGTTAATCGAGATTAAAAGAAATTGTGAACATATTTGCTATGTAGGTTAATTATTAATAAAGTACGATGTGATTTTCAAACGAATATGTATTGAGAAAAGATTATTACTGAATCTGTTACTTGGTAATATTTTTCTATCTCTCTCTTGTTAAAAATTTATGTAATTAGAAGATAACAGACTAAAATTTCGAAATATAATTGCAAATAATATGAAGAAAGTCTTTTTAGCATTATAATCTGTGTATTTTATTACTTTCCAAAATAAGAGATTATAGTTTTTCTATTTATATGAGAAAGCGGCATAAATCATAGAGTTTTGTATATTTATAAACTTGGAAGTTGGAGTTTTGTATCTTTAATACTTGGAAACCAATACAGATAATATTTTAAAAAGGTTTAACAATGTATTTATAAAATAATTAATATCATCCAAGACTCGGTATGTAATGATATTTCCATCTACAAATAATAAATTGGGCTCATTAAGACGCATTTTGCATAATTCATGTCCAAAATATCGGATGTAGCTAATAAACGTTTTAAACACAGCTCGGAACCGAGTTCACACTCAACAAAAACGTGTGAGTGTAATGTTTTATTGGCTATTGTTATTCACACAAAGCAAGATCATGGCCAAAGTCGATTAGCTTTTATATGAATAAAAGGAAATTTTTGAATTGAATGAAATTCACAAACATATTTCTTACTTTGTCCACACACGTTTATAGCTAAATGGTTAAAACTGTTGCCTAGCATTGCGTTTAACTCAAGAGGTCCTAAGATAGAGTTTCGGTAAGGCAGAGCACAGAAGTCGTTACTTGTTGGTTAAAAACCAGTCAGGAAAGTAGACACAGAAATCTGTTCGGCCTTGCATCGCGGAATTAGACTTTTTTTATATAAATATTTAATTAAAATGAAATCTTGAAATAAATATTACTAATCAATAGATAAAGTAATAATCTATCGAGATTGAAAAAAATCCGATAAAACAGCCTTCTGTTTTATCGGATCGGTGTGAATGCCGGTTTAAGGCCCTTGCCTTAAACCGGCATTCACACCGATCCGTGTTGCTATAACCAATTGAACTACTGTGTCCCTGCATGTATCGGATGATGAAGAATTTTGTGGTTTCTTTTCAAGCTAAATAGATTTTTTATTTACATATATAGTGCCGTCGTGTGTAAAAAAATTATTAAATTTTATTTTAAAATATTACTTTCTTTAAGTTATTGACTTATTATTAATGTGTAGTATATACATTATTATAAAGTACATTAATTTGGAAGTTTGTTTTATTAGTATTTCATTTTTATTTGTCTTACTAGGTCCTTAGCTTGCAGCGGCAAAATAAAGCTGGTAAAATCTTCCGTGGATATTGATTTGTACTATAACAGTAGTTTTAAGTTGATGTAAGCATCTTGAGATTATTACAGGCTACCCGTTGCAAACCGTTTCGTTGTAGACAGATTACCGTTACTCAACCGTCCATGTACTTATGGACCATCAGCTTAGATTATGAGTCGTTAAATTGAATAGTTAATGTAATTTTGTTCTCTATACGGTATATGGATTTAAAAGGTACTTGCCTTACTTACTATAATAAGTATCTACACGGTCTTACTTAAAACAATCAAGAATGTGATCATCCATTGTTTTGCATTTTATATTCGCCTCCTAGATATTTAGTCAAACATTTTGTTAAGATTTAATTGACTGATTTTTTTTAAAGATAGAGGAGGCCTATAGCATCTAAACAAGATGTGTCTCCCCGTGACCACGGCTGCTGCAAAGCATCCGAAACGTCGGGCCGAAGTTAAAAATCATTTTCAAATAAGTTTAACTAATATATCGCGTTTTAAACCGTTAAAGTGTTTTATTTAAAAGATGTGCTGTCGATCTGTTTTGGCTAAATTAATGTATTTTTTCTTTATGTTATACCAGACTCAAGTTATTGATAGGCCCATCTCCTTTCGTTCGCTAGTATCATACCTTCATTATTCGAATATTCAAAGCCAAAATAAGTCGACAGTGCATCTTGTTTAGATGCTACAGGTTGGGGTATATAGTGAACCCGGTGCTTGTCTTTCCTCCTCTACCATTAAAAAACATCGTTCTTTCAATAACAAATTATTACTTTTTCTGGTCTCGTCTCTGGTGTGTACCATTTCTAATATTCCTAGGAAGACATTGATATGCATGAAGCGTGATCTCAGCGTACATTTGTATAATTTGAGTATTCATGACTATATAATTTAAAAATCGAAAATAAATTGAAAAAATTTTCGACTCGGGCAGGACTTGAACCGGCATCGTCAGCTTTCCGTGCTGTTGCTCTACCAATTGAGCTACCGAGTCCGAGTATTCATGACTATTCCTAATAGATAACTGCATTAATGCCTTGATTTACATAATTCGATTCCCATTAATTTTATATCAAATTTGCACCGGTAATCAACATCTCTATACAACAATATGTGTATATAACATCTTTAAGATACGAAGCAATGCTTTGAAAATATTTTATAACGCGCTTCGTGTTGAAAGTATTATCCAATCAAATCTAGTATTTGTTTCTTGTTGTTTTTATGTTTGAAAAGCGTAAAATAGAAAGCGAATGCATCGTTGAAATAAGGCGCGTGTAGTTGATAGAAACATAATAGGTTGAAATAGACGGCCTCTTTGGTGTAAAGCATAGTATGGTTAATAAACACCGGGTTCGATCTTCACCGGGTCGAAAATGTTTTTAGTCACTTTATAACTTTCCTGAAACAAAGTCTGGAAATCTGAATATGAAATAGGTACCTAGTAATATCGTTCGTCCCAGTCAAGAAGCAACGTCCACGAATAGCTGTGAGTTTGAACGCGTACAGTTTTAGTATGTATGTACAGTGTAAACTCTATATAGCGACACTGAAGGGACTGTGCATTTTATGGCGTTATAGAGAGTTGTCGTTAAATGGAGAGAAGAAACATTGTATGAAAAACAAGCTAAACCAACCAAAGCCAATTAATTTCGACGCTTAAGAGAGTTTGTCGTTAAATAGAGTGACGTTACATGGAGTTTACACTGTATTTGATTTTGATCTTGTTGAAATGTTATATGGCAGTGGTACCTAACATCTAGTGAATCTCATACTTGTAAATAATAATACATTCTGTATCCAATAAGTGGATTATAAAGGGAAAATGTAAAGAAATATTGCAAATACACTTCACAATTTAATTACATATATATGTTAAACACGCGTACATAATATTAAAAATTGGCGTAACACACAACCATATTTTGACGTGTGTGACATAACGCCATTGTTTATTTTGGCGGGAACGCCGATGAGTGAAAGTTGAAAGTGGGCAGAATCATCAAACTATCGGTCATTGGTGTTGATTAGTTATTGTTTTTTACACTTTATGTAAATTAAACAACATTATATACGTGTATAATGCCTGTGAAATTAAACCAAAATTGACCGCAAAGAATCAAATTAGTACTGAATGAAATTACTTGTGAATTAAATTAATTGTATGTGACATTGTATCTAATGAATAAAACTCTTATTTCCAGATGTATCATATTCCTGTTGTGCTTTATAGGAACCCGTCGTAGGTATATGTATATTATGTTGTTATGTTACACCTAGCTAATGCTAGGCTAGGCTATTTATTATTTAATTTTACCGAGTTCATTAATCACACTTTTAGTACCTAGAACATCGGGTGACAGCCGGAAAGAAAGTAAAGGTATAGTATATATAGGTATATAAG